TATATATATATATATATAATATTCCACGCATGTGGTGGTTTGCTCTAGCTGTCCGTGTTTCTGTTCTTTAGATTTGATAATATAGCTCCTTGGCGGAAGCTGTCGTCTCCCTGAAACCCTCCGTGTGGCATTCTGCAACTAATTGGCCTGAGACTGTCCGTCAAGCCCCCCAGATAATTGACTTGAAATGGTGAGTCCTCATCATTTGTTACTAATCCTTATGTTTCGCTCTAGGCGCGCAGCGCAGAAAAAGCAATGTAAGTTACTTTGACCCTCATAGCTAAATGGAATTTCATGCCTTCAGGACTGCTTTGGCTAGGTGGAGGTCGGTTTATGTGGATCGCGTGCAGGAAACCAAAAAACGACCCCACATTGCATCCGAGTGTACAAGCTTAAAAGATGCTTTGTACTACAGGCGGCAGATTGTACATGATATTTCACGAAAGATTGCTCAGATTCAGAATCGTATGGTCATTGTTTTGTTTGTACACTGAATGCCTCACTTCCACCGTAGCTAGCCTGGGCGAATACAAACTTCGTGACCTAAATGATGACATCAACAAATTGGTGCGGGAGAAAGGCCACTGGGAGGATCATATCAAAACGCTAGGTGGTCCGGATTTCAAGGTACACGTGTCATCTTCAATGTTGTTTATCTCCAGGCTGAAGCGCCAAAGATGTTGGAGAAGGAAGGCAAAGAGGTTCCGGGAAATCGCGGCTACAGATATTACGGTGCAGCTCGCGATCTACCTGGTGTTAGGGAGCTTTTCGAAGAGGCACGTAAGTTACATTCAACTACGCTGCGTTGGAATAGTAATCGTCAAAGCGATAGTCTAACGAACGATTTCATCTATCTTAGTTGGCTGTTTGTCTTCATTTTTTACTGCTAAACCAGTCTTCACAGCAAAGGTCGTACTTCACAGGGACCAATGTGTTCCTGGTCCATGATGAAGTTATTTCCATTTTTCCTTCTTGCGTATCTTTTTTTAAGCAAGGTTAACGTATGCCAGAGGGTTAAGAAGCACCGTAAATCTGTTCCATTCATTTCGGGAACAATCAGAATTGCACATCTCACAGCTGCTGCAAATGAGTTGAACACATACTATTCAGTTGTGAGTGAATGACACCACCTATCGTTCAATGGAAAAGTTCCTTGCTCCTTGCGAAAATTTCCGAGATATTGTGCGTTTTCCCTCTAAAATGCTTTGACAGCTTGGTTGTGTGACCAAAACAGTTGACGATAAGCTTCTTCGAGGTCTCACGTCATCATCGATAATAGTACACTGTCAGTAAGTGATAGTGTCAATCTTTGACACTTTTAAGTGTTTCAGCTCTATCACCATTTGGGTGCCTAACTGCCATGCCACCAGAAGGAGGCACGAGGGCTGGGATACTGCCAGGTTGCTCAAGCCTACACAGAGGAATTCTAGAAGTAGAGGTTGGATTCGAACCACGGACCTTTGGTCGGTAAATTCGCACCCTAATTACTGAGCATCTCGTCCTTTCAAAGTGAAGAGCATTCGAGATAATGCAAAGACGTTATTCACCTACCTCTACAAAAATGGAGTCCTGGTCGATGCTCTTGCTGCCTGAACTAGTCGTTGCTAGCGGCCGGGTTATGGTTGGAACATACACTTCGGATACCTTTTTCGAGTAAAGTTGGTAGCTAGTCCCAATTAGCTGGTGTACACATTACAGAATAATTTTGAATAATTTAATAAATACGGAACACCGACTCACTATCCCGTCTGGCTCAGCAGTTGGTGGCGCTCCAATTCCTCGTAAGCCAAGTGGTTCTAAACTCACAGACCACAAGATAAATGGGTCGATTGAAGGATATCTACAGGGTAGATGTTTTTGGAAATGGTCCACCCAGCATCTTGGGGTGCCAGTCCTCCTCGTGTATTAGATTTTTATAGTATCTTCGTTTGACTTACTCTTTTGAGAACCGTCTTGCGGCATCCATATATCCCTGATTTCACCAGCCTCTACCATCTGATTTTTCCGACATTACAACCTTGTGTTCACGTACAGGCTTCCATTATGCTGACTTCTAACCCTCGCATAGCCGAACCTCATTGAGCCCGAAAAGATGTCGCGTCTCGTATCGAAAGTCGACCTTGACCGTTCTGAGATCCAATAGATTCCGTTTGAGCTCTTGCCTGGTTTTTATGTATAGATTAAGACTTACTGTATTCTTCATCCGATTATCCAATAGTAGTCCGTTGTCTTTCAACAAGTTCATATGACCTACTTGTCATTACTGCGAGAAATTTGATTCGCTGAATCCTCTTTTCTCCCCTCATTTCCACATGGTTTCCGCCTTGAAATACACAGCGCAGCCTGTTGCCAGAAAGTCTCGAGGCGAGCTTATGAAAATGGTGGATGTAGCCTATTACGGCAATTGTGACGAGGACGACGGTGTTATTGTTCCACAGGAAGCTGTATACGAACAAGAAGGTGTGAACTTCATCCTTTGATTAACACTTATCCTTTCGTAGCCATAGCACAGAAGGTTGCCGAGTGGAAGGCCCGACGGGAAGACCCGAACTTTCGTAGCAAAGTGGCCAAGAGGGACTTGCCGATTGAGGACCAGGAAGAATTCGACGAGGACACAGCAGACTTACGAAATATCTATGCCGCTGGCGACAACGTGAGTTGATATTCTGAGTTTATCCGTACCGCTTTTCCGTTCCCTTTTGTTTCCTTATGTAGTTGACAGCTCGGCAAAGTGTCTTGAAGATTGACTTGCTAAACTATCCCCAACGCTAGGACTTCACCTCTCAGTCATGCTTCTTGATAGGCTTCTATGGTCTAAGTTCCAGACTGGGCTAACACCGAAATAGGTTTCTGGGATAGCGCACTGAACTGTCTTGAAATGGATATTAGAGGTAGCTTCCTGTTATACTGTGATCTTGAAATGTCTAACCCGGTTGCATATGCAGTTGTAGACAGTTGACCAGTTTCGTCAACTGCATGAGGTTTTTAGGCGACAATCCTCTTGAAAGAGAATCCAACTTTTCGATTGGCTGCTCAGTCTAGTCAGTTATTTTGTTTCCCACCAACAAAAGTGTATTATGTTTGTTGAAAAATCGCTCAGCTGTGACACCCTTTCGGCGCCTAACCGCCATGCTGCCCGAAGGTGGCACGAGGACTTGAAATGTCTAACCCGGTTGCATATGCAATTGTAGACAGTTAACCAGTTTCGTCAGCTGCATGAGGTTTATAGGCGACAATCCTCTTGAAAGAGAATCTAACTTTTCGATTGGCTGCTCAGTCTAGTTAGTTATTTTGTTTCCCATCAACAAAAGTGTATTATGTTTACTGAAAAATCGCTTAGCTGTAACACCCTTTCGGCGCCTAACCGCCATGCCGCCCGAAGGTGGCACGAGGACTGGGACACTGCCAAGCTGCCGAAGTCTAGACAGGGGAAGTCGAGAGGCAGTGGTCGGATTCGAGCCACAGACCTTCCGGTCAGTAAATTCGCGCTCCAGCCATTTGAGGGGAAGTCGAGAGGCAGTGGTCGGATTCGAGCCACAGACCTTTCGGTCAGTAAATTCGCGCTTGTGGCATAGATGAACGTTTGCGATCGGGGTGCATCAATCCTATTACCTTACTGACCGATGAGATCTTCTGGTTATTTATGAATGAACCGACTTATTCGCACTCAATCGGTTGATCTTATCTTTTGGACTATGTGGCGTGACCTCGGGCGATCTAACAGCTCGTGGATTTTGGAGAGTAGTGTAGTCCATAATCATTGTTGTTATCCAATATTAATGTGGCGCTTCGCAAATCCACCTGATTTGGCCAACACGGTCTCATTACAACCGATCAACTGAGTTAGTCGATCGAAGAATAGCTTGAATCAACGAATTCCTATCCATATGATTTTGATTAAAGTACAGCAACTGGCCAACACGGTCTCATTACAACCGATCAGCTGAGCTAAGCGATCGAAGAAAAGCTTGAATCAACGAATCCCTACCCATATTATTTTGATTAAAGTACAGCAATGGTCCAGCAGCAGAATCAAGCGCGTGAATGTTCATATTGGTCGCTGTAAGGGACTGTCCGTGTTGTACACTTGATATGTACGATGGTTCTGGCAGTAGCGCTTCGACATCACATGATCTCCACTGATTTTTTCGGGTGCTAAGGAAGTTATCAGATGAGGCTTTTCGAATGAACATGCACGCACCACATCTGGTGGTTAGAGGTTTGCCGTAGCTGGTGTCTCGTTTTGACATTCAATCAGTTTTGCTGACCTAATGCCAACCTGTTGGGATATGCGAAATTTCGATTGCTGGTAACGTTGGTAGGCGGATATTTTACTGCTGAGTTTAATTAATTTAATTTAATAATACTGAATTTACATTATCTCGAGAAAGCTCACCATGGGGTGGAGTGTTCGCTCTGAGGATAAAGACTGTAGTACTTCGTGAGACAATACTTGTCTTTTTCAAGCTATTTGGGTAAAGATGACGTCTTGTACTCAAAGTTTCTTGACCGTCCCCCATGAATGTTCTTGATTGACTGATTTTACTGCACTGTGACTCGGCACGGCACATTTTTCGGTACTAATGCTCCGTTCCGCTGTTGCCGTCGGGGAATTAACAATGTCGATAAAAAAGGTAGCAATTTACCGCTGTTGATATTTTGGGTCCATATCCCCCAAAGGAAGTATCAGAGTAGTGGCTTCGTTTGTTATCGGTCCAGATATAATATTCTATATTCTCAATCGATGTCAATGGCGCCACTGAGACCTTAGTGCACTGTTCTTTACTTGATCGTTAGTCCACCATTTCGATATGGTTTGAAGGTACTGACTGTGGAACATTGGATCACGCAGCGCACGGCAACTCGGTGTCGATTGCCGTAGCCCTCCTAGTCAGGGAACGCCCTTTGAAATACAAACTAAGGGGATTCTATCTGTACGGTTAAGTTAACCTTTGTTGGGGACCACACTCGAATCGTTGAGTTCAACTCTCTCAGAATGACAGAACCCATCTCAAAGTTCTTACCTACAACCCATCATGGATGCACGTGAATGTATCCATTCCCCAGAGTCTGAGGTCTCGTATACATTATGCACTGTGATTGCTGAGCTGTTCATGATTCCCTAAGGTGACTGAAAGCCAGAGAAACTACACAAAAACCCTGCTAGGAGAAAAGCTTACAGTGAAAAGTTTCTTCTATTGATACCTATCTTGGGTCTTTCATGGTCAGTGGCCAACTACGCTAATTCCTTTTGACGGATGGTAAGGCTGCAGTTGGAGGCTTGGCTCCATACCGTGGATGTTCTATGAGTCTGGTTTGGTATTCGTAAGAAATAAGGCTTTTTCCGTCCGAGCTCGATACTAGCTGCATTATCTCTGTTCCTCTTTTCAGCCTGCGGATGATGAACTTATGCGGTTGTATGAGGCAATCGACATAGATGAACCAGCGGCTTCCACGGATGTCCCCACCGTGGAGCAGTTAGCCGCCCTTGGCCAAAACGTCGATGAAGATGAAGAAGACGAATACATTGCAATGGTTAATGGCCGAGTTTCGAGTAAGACGATGAGCTCCCTGGGTAACGTCAAACGGGCCTTCGTAGCTCACGTCCCCGTATTCACACAAGAACAGGTAACTTCCATCGTAATTTTATATGCTTGTGAATAGGAGCTTCGCGTGAATAATTATGTTCGTTGCCTTTACTCTCAGACTCATGTATGCGAAATTATTTCGAATGCTGAGTTTCGGTCTAGTGTGATTGCTCAGAAAGTTAAATGAATCAAAATAAAACTGTGCTGTACAACTAGGTATACTTTTCAGCCCTCACCCCTTACTGCATACATACTGTTGGACGTAAAAGTGTTTTGACGACAGCCTCAGTCATCTATCCCTAGCTTCGCGTAACTTACCAATCAATTGACCACGGTGGCCAGAAATGGTGGACTCATGTTTCGTTACTTGGGTTACTGGTTATTTTGCATCTGGAGGTGGAAATTTGTGGTGGTGACTAAAACGTCGGGCGATAAACAGCTTGCTCGTGACGTTGTATCTTCCCTCCTATTCTCACGTGTTTCACACAACAACCACCTTTTTTCATCCTTCACTGCTGACATAAAATATTCTAGGCCCTTTGTTATACCACTTCACGCCGCTTCCTAAGATGCCCCCCATGAGTCAAAAACATTGAAATCTTATCATCGTTGCGCTTGAACATGTACTGCTAAGCGTTTTAAAGGGCATTTTTGAGGTGAATTTAGTCAGTGCGTTTGATCTTCAACCAAGGATTAGGCAATCGAAATGTCGGAATACCAAGGTCTGTTTGAAAATTCTATTTCGTTAGTCACATCCGGAACCTCCGGATGTAGTCCGTCTGGAAGTGTCACGGACGGACTTCGGATTGGCGACTCGAGTTGGTCATGCTAACGGGTTTAAGGTATGGACAACTAGTTATTGATCAGCAGGTCGCAGTTTGTCTGGGGCCTCTATCGACAAAAGTCCTATAGGCATCGAGTCCAAGCAGTTAGTGACTGAAAAACCAATGCCGATGCTTGCATTTTTCTGTCGTAGTTGATGGAATCTAGTTCGAAGGGGGCGTATCTTCTCAACGAACAACATTGATCTTTCATATGAGGAAACCAAGTGACATTGTTCTTCACTCTTTCTTGATTCATGGGGAAAATCTAGTGCACAAATGCACTTCATTGATAGGTTTTTAAGGCAGTTTTTCCGGTGTGTTCACCAGAATTAGTCCACTCACTTCGTCACGAACTGCAAACTGGCGTTTGACTAGCAATATTACATTCGATTCGGAAAATGATTTTCCCAGTGGAAACCCGACAAAATTCTGTACTGTCGGTTTGGCACAGTCGGCTTGTGCCATCCAACCAGCTTTGTGATTGTGGTTGTCTTCATACTACTGCCGTTCAGTTAGTAGTGTAATTATTTAAATAGTCGGTGGCTCTGGCTTCATACAGTGTAATTTTTCGCCTCTTCCTCTTCAGATCGAAGCTTCACTGCTGGCACAGCGCAAGCGCGAAATTCTGGAGAAGTATATGTCTAGTGATCTGATTGCTAGTATGGCTGAAACGGGTGAAATCCTTGGGATGGAAGATGGTACCATCGAGACAAACCCTGATGCTAACGCTGTCGATGCCAATGATTTCAAAGGCTCTGATGTGGAGGAAGAGGAGGAGGAAGATGATGAATAGAAGTCGTCTATGTCCAGTCCACCACCATGTGGCTCCTTGTACAGTTTGACTGTTTTGTATCAAAAAAAGACTGACTTTCAGCAGCAGACTTATGGATGTTGTTCACTTGGGCTCACTACTCCCTCCTGCAACCGGGTGATTCACAGCTATCCCGTTGTTGTTTTTGTCTTCGTTACCAACGCCTACTCTTAAGAACGACCAATATCTACGTGAACAGTTGGAATTGAGTACGCTGCCCTCACGTCACTGGCTGGTGGTGCGCAACTCGACCTGCGTAGCTTCAACAGCACTGTTGATTATAAAAGACGAGGAGGTCATTTTTTCACGAGGTTTTCAAAACTGCCTGTCGTTGGTCTATTCCGCGTTGAAACAAAACTCCGAAAGAGGTCTCCTTGCTGCGAGCCTCCTTACGATATAAGAAAAATCCCACTAGTAATCGGGTTGCACCTACTGCGCCATTTTCCTTATGTATGCAGTAGGTCACGGTCTCCCATACAGTGACGTTTAGGCGTTGATGAGGACAGGCCTTCGTGTATACTCGGTCCCGCAATAGGAGCAGACGGAAAGATTTACGGAGCGGAAAACATGGTTGCCATCAGCTCCATCGTATCTGTAGTCGACCTTGTCGACAGGAGCGGGTGATAATCCGGAACATCTGGATTTCCTGCGGTCGCAGGACCCCGTATTGCACTGGGGACCAATAATGCCTCATTGAGAACGAAAATGGGCGAAATAGAGTGTAATTTACAACACGAGACTTTCACTACACATCCAGTTTCATATGATTGGAATAGCGAATCTCTGTAAATCCCTTATATAGATTTGGCGGTATTGGCAGCCACATCAAAGCAAGGGCTCTCCTTCCCGAATGGTTCTATTAATAACCCACCAGGTTGAAGACAGTCCTAGTTTCACGCCTCCCGTGCGGCCGTGTGCGCATCTGATGCAACTCGGTCGAAAAATCGAGCGGCTGGAAACCTCGAAAAGCGCTGCCATGATAACCATTACACCAGCCTCGCTACGGCAGCCGTCGCTGCACATAATAATCTGAAAACCAGCGCTTTCTTGTATTTTGATTTGGACGGTAAGTGCTTCTGACAGGCAAACGCAGAATGAGTGCGTGTGAAACGGGCATAGGTCACTTATACCGGATCCACTCGGTAGACTTGTGCCTGGAAGTATAAACCAAAGATAGCAGAGGGCGGTATTGTGTGCTTACTCCCAACGTATCTTCTCATATGGTTCGCAAAATGACGCTTGTCGTTTAACCCACATGGACCAGTGAATGTTTTCACTTCGTTGCGCTAAGCAATGAAATGCAGTTAGCATCGGTCGACAGGATTCTGCGGTGGATGAATCACTTAGCATGTTCTCACTGAGCGATAGTATTTTCAGTCACCGATGTCTATCCATGTGGACTCCGGCTCAGGGGCAGTAAAAACCGCGTAACTGGTGTAGTGGTCTGGCTACCCAATAAGTTAGTTTACCAGGAGTGCGTGGCAAAGACATAAAAATAATAACGCTAGGTTGGGTATACAAAAATAAAGAGATCAGATGGAACAGATTCATTAACAATTGTTTTCTTTAAAATAGTTCGTCGTTGGCCCAGGTCAGCGAATAAACAATAGTCCAATTATGTTGGTCCAGAGGTCTTCTTCTGAATAGTTCCCACGTATAATAGATCCCGAAGATGTCTGAAATGTTTTGATACCAGAGTTAGCACATGAGATTCGCGAATGACCGCTGCAAGCGCCAACGAAATCAGAAGAGAGAGTCGAAGCACGTGACTACGTTTGTCCTGAAGTGAAATTGTCCAAGTGCGCGTTTTCGTGGTTTTTCGTATTCAAATAAAAAACGATCATGCAATTGAGGAAATACGTAGTGTTATAATGGAAGCAAAATAAAGGTACAGAAAGTCACACTGGCCACGTTTTCTCTCACAATGAATATAGTCTACCTTAGTCACTACAACCAACTCTAGCGTGTAGAGTACCACCATTTCATTTGCTTTCATGGTACAATTTATAGTAGTTCGTTTACCTTGAATTCCGGAGACAATGCAGAGTCTATACGGTGCACTTGATTTTTTTCATTTTCATCACAAGATACCCAGCACATTAGGCTACAAAGTCACGAGTGCATGAACGGTAGCGCAAACAAGAGTAGGAATTTTCTGGAATGTACTTGAGATTATTTTCGATGGCGGTAATTCTAAGATTAGTAGTGAGCCACCCACCAAAGATTGATCGGCTTTGATTTGGGTTTTCACTTGACTCACACTCGTTCAGAAGATAGTGAACCAAATTTCTCGACTTTATTGAAATCTCACTGAATTCCAACTTCGACTTTCATGGATTAGTTAAGCCTTCTAAACTGTTTTCGGAGGCACAGTGCTTCGATTGAAACCAAAACTTTTTTCTACCCGAAGATGAATTTTTATATTTTCCGGACTTTTACGCTGCAAGTATCCTCTCGGCCGGTTGATCGGCTTCTATTCTCCACGAAGTGGATTCCTCTTTCTACCATGCAGCTCCTAATTGGGCCTCGCGGAACAGACCGTTCGTGAGCCTATCACACCAGATCAACGATGATTAGTTAATTCGCCAACGCATGATTGGGATCTTAGCACCACATTTAACCCTTGACTGTCCAGCCCCATCTTATTTTCGTCATAGACTGGCGAGCATATTGACCAATCGATCCGATAGTCAATAGTGAGTTGATGAGTGCAGGTGACACGAATGCGCTTGGTCTTCAAGCATTCACTTATGGTGGGACATCTAGCACCTAAGTTGGTCGTTTGGAAACGCCTATTGGCCTTCCCTAACTTGATGTGTGTTCTTACGTACCAGCAGCTGAAGAAGGCAAAGGTAACTTCAACGGTGGAGGCATTGCCTTGAGTGAAGCAGACCAAACACAACAATCGGTCGAACGTCCGAGGGGAACCCTCTTCGAATTCGTCCCGAGTTGCGAAAAAACATGCACCAATATAATACGCACTCTGTTGAACCCCTCCTCATGGCTTATCAATAACAGTTTGCATACTTTTTTGCAGTATAGTAATTCATAGTCATTCACTGCACTTCGGTTTGCACGCCCTCTGAGTTGCATACTGCTATTGGATACTGCTAGGCTCAAAGTTTTGACGTGTTGTGCTCAGGCAACTGGCAGTGACCTGAGCCATAAACAGTGTGACTGATGGGGAAAATGTTTGAGCAGCAGCAGTGAAATTGCAGACAGACTTGCCAACTTATGGCCATTTAGGATTCGACAAGCGCAAAGACTCAGAGTCTCGGTGAGCTTGCCGAAGATTGTTGACATACCTAGGTGCAGTCTTCCTGCTATGAAATGACTGAATGAAAAATTCGCTAGGATTCAACGACAGTGAGAACCGCAAGTTACTGCTTCATAACGGCGACGACCTGAACTAGCCGATTCCACTTTGTCAATCTTCGTAGTGAACTTGTACAGTACCCCTTCTACTACAGAAAAACATTAGAAAGGTAGTATGGGCAATCTCCGGGTGCTTTATTTCGTAGAAGATGGTAGACCAGATTGACTGGCGGATGAGCTGCATGAAGAGGCTATCCCTTCCGAAATTGACAACCCCTGGATACGATAGCAATGGTTTGTTTTGTTTTTCCGGATAAGTGATCGAAGTTTCCTTGTACTTCCTTTGTCTATAGGCTTCATTGCACTCAGGTTATGGTGAGTGTAGACAGATTTTAGAGACGCCTGTAGGAGTAGCTTTGAAGGGATGTCTCAACGATTCTGATAAACGAAAATGTCTAGTAATTTAGTGGTCTGTGGACTTTATATCGCCATTCTACGATATGTAATGGGGGTTCATTCCGGGGTACCGCAGCGCATTGGAAATGATCTACCAGGACAGTGGGACATTTGGTTGCCAACGTGAATCTTACTTGAACTCCTCGAAAGCATTTTGGTACTTCCGACTCTGTTTTTAATCCTGATTGCTCGACAACTGGACAAAATGAGGTTGAAAGGGGAGAGTTACTTCATTGCTCGACAACTGGACAAAATGAGGTTGAAAGGGTAAGAGTTACTTCGAACTCTTAAGAGGATCCTGAATTATCTACCGACGGGTTATTTGGCTACACGGAAACGTTATAAAGCCGATATAGTTTTGCCCATTTGAAGAGACCACCTTTGTTTGGTCCGTTGCTGGTTAATTTCTCAGAAGAAACAACAGTTTTCATACAGACATTGTGTTAGAGACCCGTTGTGTTGGTGGATCGAGGATAAAGAGAACTGCTTCCTGACTACCTCCTTAACTAGATTACTGGAAGTGCTTTTCACTATTTTACCGACCTACATGGTTCACCAAGAGACTTCTCAGTGGTTTAGAATGACTTTTTGTTCAGGTACACGTGATCAACCAACTAATCACAGTGCAGACACTAACTACGCTTCATACATTATATAAACGCAAGCAGGATTGGAGAAATCACTCCACCAACCGTTCAGGGACAATGTCTCCTCGCATGCGTTCGACAAGCTCCGCGAACAAGTCAGCTTCCAGCTGATAAACACCCCAAAAGTAGTGCACGAAGATGTCTTCGTTAGTGGCTGTCAAGAACGACTGCTCAGTCACTGGCATCTCCACAGTTGTTCTGGTCCACCCCATCAAATGTCTACGGTACCATATTCTAGCGAACGCGCAGGCCCTGTGCAGTACTGGTAATTCACAGTAGGGCTGAACCTGTCGAGTAAACTATGGATACACCTGACTAAATATTCACTCCCGACCCCAGAGATTTATTGGAGGGGAAAAGAGAAACGAGCATGTAAAGCCGTAGTGTACTCAGTCAGGAAGCATTCAGACATGGGAAGGGCACATGTGCAGAAAACAGCGCGCCCCCCGAGGTCACCATCGGTCACCACACGTTCCGGATAGCAGCACACAACTAGCGGAGTGTATGTGAAATCGCTCAATACAGAAAAGTCGCCAGTGGCCTATATATTTACACAGAAAATTTGTATGTTTGACCTGACCTGGCCTGACAATACGGCCATGTCCCGGTTTCTTTGTCTTCTGCCTATCGCTCACTCTAACGTAATCAATT